CTCTACCCTCTAGGGATTTTATAGCAAAAAGTTTTTTTTTCTTTTGGATAGGAGTCATTTAATTGGGGGTAGGGTTGTTATGTGCATTTTTAAGCTTTAGGAAGTTTAAGTACAGTAGGGCAGCAAGGGAGCAGAAAGAGTGAGCGAGGTCTCAATTCCTATCCCTCATGTCTCTAATGCCATAAACACTTTGCTTCTATGGGTAGATGGCCATCACCAATTTTTAAAATCACTTTCACTTCCTGGATTGCCTGCATTCTCAGTGGCATATAAGCTGTATGTAACAGGTTATAAACATAAGAGAGAGCCTTATTACTTAACTGGAGTTTGAATGTTAAACTGGCTAGGATCGTTTTTGTAATGGGGCTTCGATGTGGATTATAAGGGGGACCTTTTTTTAAAAAATTTTTTTTGGTGGCTGGCTGGTTCGGGGATCCAAACCCTTGACCTTGGTGTTATCAGCACTGCACTATCCTGAGTGAGCTAACCAGCCAGCCCTATAAGGGGGCTTTTTAAGGAACATTTTCAGAGTAAAATATGGAGGCGAGAGTGCTTAAAATGTTCTTTGCTTGGGTAATGCAAGTGTCAAACCGTAGCTAATACTTAGCATATCAGTATACCTAATAAGATTTCTGCTGCTGGCAGGATGATCTTGTTTTACCAAGTTCTCAAGTCTATGTAGCATATGATTGATTTGAGAAGAACTGCTGCAGTAGCTATTCCAAAACATCAGCATCACTTCTTAAAGTTAGGAAGATAATTGTCTTGGATCACTTTTTAAACTTTTGATGCTTTGGGAGATTTCCTTACTTCCAGAAGAGAAAAGAGAAATGTCAAATTTTTTTTTATTGAAACATAGTTGTTATACATATTTGTGGGGTACAGAGTTGAATATCAATACCTGTGTGCAATATGTGATGCCTAAATCAGGAGAATTAGTATATTCATCATTACAGAGCATTATCATTCTTTGTGTCCATTAACGAAGAGAAATGTGCAAATTTAAACATAATCCCTTTCAGTTTGTTATGACCTGCTTATCTCTCCCCACCCCGCTCCCACCTTATTTTTTTCCCATAGTTTAATTTTCCCTGTTGGCAATGAGGGTAAAGACAGATAAATGTTTGCTAGAAGTATACAGTGTTCTGTGTTTAGACCAAAGCCCACGTAAGCTTTGCAGCACTAGTTGGGAATCTGTAGACATTTCAGTGCATAGAATTTAACTATAATGAAGTTTAAAAAAGAAAGAACCAAGGATATATGTTACCTGATATCTTTTTTTCACTGAGTTCAGAATTGTTAAGATGATGCAGCCAATTTTGGTGATGGTTTCAGAGTCAAAACACAGGATAAAGGTAAGGACTAGGATGGTTTCATGTACTCTGAGGTCCTGTTTTCCAAATTTGTGTTTCCTTTTCCCTTTCAAGTTCTCCACTGTTAACCAGACAATGTGAGTATCCCCTTCCAGCAAGATAATCTAGCAGAAAGCTAAAAGTAGGCTGCTTGGCAATTGAGGTTTTGATTTAAAAAGTGTTTATTAGACAACAGAATTTGTTTTCTTGATGTTGATAGAGCATAGTAGCTCTTACTAGGGTCTCATAACTTCTGTTTTTACCATATCTTCATTCAGTTCATTTGTTCATGTTGATAGAGGTGAGGTGTGGTGATGGGTTGGATATGTCACAAATGGGGAGATTAGAGACAGGAGGGTTTGTAAGGCCATGCAGCATGCCATTGCCTCTGGATTGGAATTTGGGTATCAGGATTTCAGTACTGTTTCCAGCATGTGCACATATATTTGAACTTTTTGGTTTAGGAAGTTGGGAGACATCCTTTAACTAGACAGATACTGTGGAGTTTTTATTCTGCAATGTTAGGCCAACCTACTGTTACCTCCTTGACTATTATCTCTGAGCACTGAGGTAGAGGAATGCTGTTTCAGAGAAATGGAGCACCAGGGCAGAGAAGTCCCAAGGGTTTACTTCCCTTATTCCCTGCTGGGCTACCCAGCTTGGTCTCTGGGAAATCTCTTGGTGAGAAAGTCTTTGTTCATGCATGCATTTTACAAGTAGGGGTTTTCCACTGGAAGTTATGGTAGAATGGCACTGGTGTGCTTTAGGAAGGGATGAGAAGGTGTTTAAGATTAATAGGTGGAAACACACTGATGGAGAGGAAAATTCTTTATGGACAGAGCAGCGGGTGAGTGTTGCCTGCGAATTGTGACCCAGCTTTGACGCCAGGGCTCAGAGCACAGCTCACTAAGTTAGTGGGTATGGTAAGTGCCTGCTCTCCTCTGAGGAGATGGTGAGGAAAGGCGCTGACAGGTTCTTTGTGTTTCAGGATGACAAACTGCCTGATGCTTAGGCTGTGAGTTTTACCTTTGAGAGGAATGTGCTCTTGCTCTATTTACATAAACCTGCTGATTTGCTGAGGGTCGAAAATGCACTGGCCTTTCTTTGCTCTGAGAATCTGCCTTCACATTTTGGCTGACTTCCTTCCTCAGCCTAGCTAATGCTCTGTTGTTTGCAGATGGCACAATAGATTCTTGGTTGTAAGAAACAGCCGGAAACACCCTGTTCAGTATCATTGCCCAAATCATGGATTTTATTGCTCCCTGTTCACACAGGTTTGAGGTCACTTAATGATCCATTACCAGGCAGAGTCTAGGTATTAAAGAGAAGACGTCGCAGTGTAGACCCATGGTGGAAACACCCTGTTCAGTATCATTGCCCAAATCATGGATTTTATTGCTCCCTGTTCACACAGGTTTGAGGTCACTTAATCATGTGATCCATTACCAGGCAGAGTCTAGGTATTAAAGAGAAGACGTCGCAGTGTAGACCCATGGTTTTGTTTCCAGACATCCCTAGTAAAGAAAAAATTAGTTTTCTTGTGTTGTTTGGAAAAATTGATATCGATGGTAATAGCCTCCCTCATTTTTCTGAACCATTTCAGGCATGTTGACTTTTTTTTTTTTTTCCTTTTTGTCTCTTTTCGTGTCTGGCAACGGACCGCAACCCTCAGTGTTGCGCCCGTACCGGACCGGGACCGGCAACGGGATTGCAACCCTCGGTGCTGCGCCTGCCCCTCGCTCCGCCAGTGAGCGGAACTGGTCTGTATGTGGGATCCGAACCCTCGGCGGGAGCGCCACCACGCTCCCAAGCGGCGCACTGTAGCAGTGCGCCACCAGGCCGGCCCCCAGGCATGTTGACTTTTAAGATTAAAAAAATATATATATATGCCCTGCAGCAACTGTTTGCTCAATCTGGTAAATACGTGTTTTCACATGGGTAATTTTGAAAATGTGTATTATGCATTTAATGGATCACATCAGCTTTGCTCAGTTCTTTCAGAACTGCTAGCTTTCTAAGAAAAGATTCTCTTTATTAAAAGAAAATGGGGAGTCTTCAGTGCTTGTGTTGGCTATGAGGGATTTTCAGGTTGAGGATCATTGATCCAGCTGACTAAAACCAGTTTTATAACAAGCTTCAGACTCATGTACTCATAAATTGCATGAAAATCTTGCCAAATCATCTTGGCTTTGAAAGATTACTGGGCATATATTCCAAATGAGATTTTAACATTGCTCTTGACTTATGTTCTTATCTTTCCCTTTCCAAATAAAATGCTTTATTTTTGAGCTAACTAAAAACATTTATTTAAATTATTTTCTTAAATAGCTGCTTGATTAATAAGACTTGGGGAAAATACTTTCTATATGAGTATTTGCCCTTAATTTAACCTTGTTTTGAATATCACTGAGTAATAAAAAAGTAGAATTTTTTCCAGTGAGACTTGAATTTCAAATTATTTCTTAGAACATATTCTCTTTTAGTTGAGGATCACCCGAATTTTTGTGGGAAAGTTACAAAGAAAAGCTTGATTCTACAATAATTTTTTATGTTTTTATTTGTAAAATGAATTAGACAAACCAGGTGAAAACAATGTGTTCTTTTCCCATTTCTATGGCAAATTTGACATGGTGTGAAAAATTTCAGCACCTGAGTTATTAACTCTAAGACATATTCATTTTGAAGGGCCATGAGGAAGGATAAAACAAACGGCATTTGTTTTATGCTGGTGGCTGCGGATACAGGGATCTTAACCCTTGACCTTGGTGTTACAACCCTGTGCTCTAACTGAGCTAACTGGCCAGCCCTAACATGCCATTTAAAGAAGCAACCTTTTAGACTCCAGCTGTTGAAATCACCAAAAATAATTATCTGACAACTGCCATGTCAAATATAATTTAAGAAAGCTTTCTTCTTCCCTGAAGAAAATGTAATTTGGTTTACTTCATTCTCTCTCTGATTGGCTGCCTTGGTTTTCTTTACAAGTAGAATATAAAATGTATGTAGGTTAATATCTAGTAGCAGGTTATCTACAAGAGACAGAGGGCATTTCTTGGTTTAGGTGAAAACGTCGTTGCAACAGTTCGTCCAAGCTAGTCTTATTTGCATATTTCATTTATTTCTTCACAAAATATTGATTGAAAATAAAGTAGCCCTTTGCAAAGCCAGTTCTCTTTGTGAAGACACAGGAGCATCTGAGGGTACTTCAAAAGGTTCGAAGTAAAATGGAATTAAAAGATAATTTCAATCTTTGATGAACTTTTTGAAGACCACTTGAATCTGAATGAGCCATCCAAGATTTTGCCTTAGCTTGTAATCTTGAGCAAGTCATTTCTTTTGTCGAAACCTTTTCATCTGAATATAGATAATCCCATGGTATCCCCCCCCCCCCCCCGGCCAGGGAACTTGAAGAAAATAATTTAGGCTTTATCAGTTTCTTTAAATTATTAGAAAAGTGGTCAAAAACAGCCAGAGGGCTGTTTTCCTTTAGTTTAAAGTTATTTGTAATTTAATATCACCTTTGGAAAAAATTTACTATAAAAGATATGTGCTTTGTCATTTGTTTGTTTATGCAGTGGCTTTATGGGCCTTGTCTTTGTTCCCTTAAAGGTAAATGCCATTGTTTTAAAATTTCTTTTTCTTTTAAAGACTGTGTGTATATCGAGAGTCGGAGGCCAAACACACCGTATTTCATCTGTAGCATTCAAGACTTCAAACTGGTAAGCATTTTTAATGTGCTGTTCGTTCTACTCTGTTCCTCCTCCTTTGTTTCTTTTGATTGCTTCGCCATCACTCTTGACATGCCAGCCAGCTCACCTGCTGAGTACTGACTTTGTCATGATGGTAGCACTGAAATGAGGCAGTTACTAGTTTCATCTTTTCAGTTTTGTAACACTTACTGTTGTAATGTCATATTGTAAACAATGTCTCTGAAGACTTTATTTCTTTAGTAGCTGTTTTGACAATTTCAGAGATTCCCTTGAGTATCTGAAGTAGTTTGTTTCTTCAAAGCCATTGTTAAGAGTCTGAAGTAAAGTAAATGTAGGAATTGGTGATGAGTAGGAAAAACAATATAAATGAGCCAGAAAGTGGTTTCAGGTGGAAAATTGTAATTTCCTTTGATATTTTGGTGGGCATGGAGTGTATCTTGAATTTGCTTATTGGGACTCCCAGAGATAGAGGTTGGGGAGAAGGAAATCTGGCTCAGGCATGGTGTAGCTACTATACTTTCTCATGAAAAACTTTTCCTAAGTGCAGAAGTGTTGATATTGCCCACTATGAAATCTCTGGGTTTTAGAGCGGTGGTTCCCACGCTTTGGGCTTTGGATCCCTGGATGTCTGTAGAGATTTTGCAAAAGTTTGCAGATAGACATTCTCAGTCTTATATAAATAAATACACCTCACACTTGTCTGTACAACTATTTTTCAAATGTATTAGTATGCCGTTGTGATTTTAAAAACTCATTATTTAAGAACAATACATAATTAATTATCACTGTTTATGATGTATTTTCCTTAAACAACTGACATGTGAACTACTATCAAAATAGAATTGTTTGGGAATCTTTTGAAACATTTTGATCTTGAGAAGGGATCCCTGTACTAGAAGGTTGTGAACCACTGTCTACTACACTCTTAGGTGTAGAGAAATCCTAATTTTTTAGCTTTGTAGAGATGTATATCAGTGTCTGTGAACACCCTTACTTCCAGAACCCTTCATAATTAGACAATAATTGTGTTCTGACATACATCATATGTGATACTTCAATATAAAGAAAGGTAATCTGAAAAGATCTGTAACTGCATCTCTTTTGTTTTTTGTCATTTTTAATGACCCCAAGCGTCAAATTAGTATGTTCTAATTTAGCTAGTTAAAAAGTTTCATGTGATTAATTTTTCTTTATTAAAGGTTATTGAATAAGTTATTATATGCTTATTGTTTTAAAAGAAAGTCAAATGTGCAGTTTACTTCTAAGATTTATTTATTCTTGGTAGGCTGCTTTTAACTACCCTGGATGTTTTGCATTGTGTTTTGAGGCAGCCTTCTAGTTTAATCTTATAAATCAAATGCTTTCTATTCAGTTTTTGTGTCATTATGAGTTTTTGCCATTTTTAGAAGTCTTTGCTACTTATTATATCTTTCCTTCTCAAGATTTTTTTTTACAGATACTGCACTGACACCTGAAAATGTGGGTGGTGGACTCGTTTCCTGAAGAGTTTTATTTTGGTAGTGGCAGCTGCTACTGCTCTTTCACTGCTCATTGTCTTCGCATGTGAATTTTACTAAACCAAATACCAGTGCATTGTGGAAAATTTATAGCTGTGGAATAGAATCACAGAGATTTTTCTTTTTTTAAAGATTTTTCTTTTTCCTATTGGATTCTGAGCCCCTTTTGTACAGTTTTTGCACATTAGCAGGTGCCTTCATGTTTGAACAGCATCTCTTATGAAATGCTGATTACATTGTGATAGTTGCTGTTCTGGGCAGAGGTGCCTGCTGAGTTACAGTAATTGCTCAGGGTATTAACAGCAATAAAAGCTGGAGCTTCTGTTGTCAGTATTGGTTTGGTACAACACATTAAAGCTGTTTGCAAAAACAATGGGGGGGGGTTGATATGTTTAGATACCTTTTTCTAAATCACTGCTATTTCTTACGTTTTTGTTTGAGGTTCTTATAATTGTATAAGAATCAGAGATGATGAAATATTTGCTCATGGAAGAAATGTAGTTATTTTCACTTTCTTCTTTCCTTGGTTCTCTATGCTTATTAAAAGATAACCAAATAGATGAGAATAATCAAGATTTTTATCTGCTCCAGTTTACTTAAGCTATAAGGGGAAAGATGAGAAGAAGGAAATATACTTTGTTTCTCTGCAAGATTTTAAGAAGAAGAAATTGGATTTGATATTGCCCACAGAACATAACATGGCAAGTGGAGCAATGAAAAACAAAAACAAAAATCCAAGCGCTTTGAAATGTTGAGTAATTATGTATTTTATCTTTTTAGCTATCATAAAATAAAAAGTTGGTTTGCAATTATAACTGAGAGATGAGTTTATTTGTTTACACCATAAATGAGAATTAATTATTTTACAATGGTGGTTTTTTGAGAATAAGGTATATTTGGGGACTGTAAAAAGAACTGGGTGAATGCCCTTTATGATTCATATTAGGTAAGATTATATTGTTAAAGACAGCAAAAGGTAATGAGTTGAGAAGTGGGGACGAGGTGACATTTACCACCAGTCATAATGCCAATTTATTGAACTGAGGGCCCTGTGTAACATTTCATGAACTACTTCTATGTGCGATAAAGAGGAGAGTCTTTCGATTTTATGTGAGGACCTGGGTTGTCTTCTAGGCTCTGCTATTATATTCTCCTAGAATCTGAGTCCTTGATATAGAACATATCTCTGTGTCCTGATTCACATCTTTTGTTCTGCCAAACTTATATTAAAAGTTTCCCCTTTTGCTCTCAAAAATGTTGGGTTTGGATGATAGGTTAGATGGTGATCTTGCCTATGGGAATTAGGGTCCATGGCTTCTGCTTTATTAACGTTTAACCATCAAAACACACATGGCCACTACCATCCCACACTGGTAGATATATTTAGAGCCCACACTTTTACAGGGGTAGGTGGAGGCTATGAAAGTGCAAAGTAATTAAGTTCCTAACTGAGCTGAGGTTTTTAAAGGTAGCATTTTCAAGGGAAATGAATTATGTGTTCTGTTAGGAAGCTCACATTCTCTTAGGAAGTATTCATTTGATTGGGTTTATTTATAAACTGGGAGATCTAGTTCTGTTTGAATACGTTCACCACATATCAGTGGAACAGGTACAAAAGCAGAGGCTCAAGCTAGCAGGAGAGGTAAGTTAGAACTATGGACAGTTGTTTGCTTAGGAGCAGCAAGAAAGGAGGATCATCATTTAAGGCAGCTTTGTACCACCGTAGTTTTCTGAACTAAATAATAAAACAGCTGGCAAAATCTTTATCTTTTTGAAGGAATAGTAATATGGAATGGCAATCCGTGATCTTAGTGGCCTGGCATGAAAAGATATTTGCACCAAATTTCTTTTTTAGAATTTAGAATTGGAAAACTGAGAGACTAAGGCAGTCAGCAGAGGGCCAAAGCTGAAAGGGTGAATCAAGAACTGCCTTTTATAGAGAGTGAGGTTGGGGCCCTCACAGGCAAGCTGACATGCTGGGGTAGAAGACCAAGAACAGCAGAGGACCGGTGGGGTACTGGGGCAGGACAGGAGACTGCCAAAGGAAGTGCGAGCACACAGCCATGTCTTCCTAGAGCTCTCCAGAGGCTGGCTGTACTGATGTTCTTCCCCCTGGATTCTTAGACTGTTCTGTTGTTCCCTCTGTGTAAAGGCCTCTTTACTTGGGCTGGCTTGAGTGGATCTCCATTAATTTCAGCTGAAAGTGCCTGGTGTAACATCTTCAGCTCTTCCTTCTGCTGCCCTCTCATAGCTTTTTATAGGCACTGTGAGACTTAGTTTGCTTTGAAGGTTTTGTTCCTGAATGCGTCAGTATCATCAAGTAGCATTATATCACAGAGTGCAGCTAGGAACGTTTTGGATTATAATCAGTGCCTTCAGCAGCCATTTATTGAAAGCCTACTCTGTGTTCTTTGTTGAACTTCAGTAAAGGGGACTGAAGAAATATAAAACATTGTTCTTTTCCTCAGTGATTTTAGATTCTGTTGGACAGACAACTTATGGCATTATTGGATGTCAGTCATCTTTGGAGAACATTCTGAATAAGACTGAGGAGAAAGCCATTTACTTTTTCTTTTAAATGGAAGGTTTCTTTCTTGCTTTTACTGAAAACAACAAAATTTTATTTTTATAGAAACTCAGGCCTTAAGCATCATAGAGATAACTTGCTGCCTAGAAATAATCAGGAGTCTAATAACGCTAACAGTATCACTAAAATTAGTAATTTTCATTCAGTATAATACCAAGGAGTTCCCTGTAGTAGTTCCTCCCTAATTCTTTATTCACAGATAAGTAATCAAAGCCATTCCAGTAATATACTACATGGGAATTCTGTGTGGATTCCTGAGTTGCCATTATCCATACAATTGAAGAAAGCATGATTTTCATTTTCTAGATTTAATGTAATTATAGGTTTTTAGCTGTTACTTATACCACGTGAGTTCCTAGGTAGGATATGGAATTATTTCAGGTACCATTTTGGGTAAATGCCATTGATTCATTTTGGTTCCTGATTGGTTTGTTAAAACTGGCAAAATTGTCCTTAAAATTAAACCTGGTCTAGAGATTCTTTAGAGTTGGGGATATATCATTAGGGATCTTATGGTGTTTCTAGTTGACTATCAGTTGGGCTCAATGTTTTCTTACAGCTCAGCATGAAGAGAGCACTTTTTTTTTTTTTTTTATCATTTATGCCCCTGATAGCATACACTCTAGATGCTGGTTGTGAATGTGCAATAGCTAAGGATGCATACCACTACTTACCTTGAGGACAGTATATCTCCATTACTCTCATGAATGTGGGGGTCAAGTTATTCATGATTTAATACCATATCCCTCTCATTGTTTTATTGTCAAATGTGAGCAGCTGGCAGAAAAACATTTGGAATTTCTCTCTGATCCTTGGTCAAAGCTTGGACTTTGATATCAGGTTGTCTAGGTTCATCACATCCTCCTCCTATCAGTTGCTGTCTTTCTTTCATGACCTTGGGCAAGGTGCTTAATCCTCTTAACTTTGCTTTATTTACCTATGAAGCTGGGATATAAAACACCAACCTTAGGTTGTTTTTAGATTAAAAGAGCATGCCAGTAAAATATCTAGGGCAGGGGGGCCCCATAGAATCACACAGACTGTGATGTTGGTGTTTATTTGGCACTCTTGGTTTACGCTTCGTAACAACAGATACCACATCTGTTTCACTGAAGTATACCATGTGCTTAGCACATTGTCTGGCTATAGTTGTCCACAGTAAATATTTATTAAATATTGAATGAAGTAACAAACATGTCAGTGGAAAAGATTTAAATGGATAAGTTCTCAAAAATTGTAGTAGTAGTTTGATACAATACGTGCATTAACTGCAAATTAACCTTCTGTCTGTTACATTAAAGAAGTCTGCTCACTTACCTTTGGTTAGTTTACAGAGTGTAGTATTTTATGTATTTAAATAATAGCAATCTTCCTTTTAAAAGTTTCTTGTTTTCGAGAGTTTAAATGAATGTAGTTAAAGTCAAAAGATTTTTTTGTCATCATTATATTATTTTGAATTTTCTATATGACTGACTTTTAGCAAAGATGAATGAAGGCTTAGTCTAGATGTCAAACATCTCAGAAAAGGCCAACTGTTATGAAAAATGCCTTATAGTATGATGATTTGTTTCTGTGTGAAACATCAGTTTTTTCTCTTTTTATTTTTGACAGTCCCCCAAGTTAGGCCTGCAGAATTGATTATTTCTTTTGTAGTCTCATCTCTTTACTCTCTTGCTTTGTACCCTATATAAAGATCTGTACCACCCAGTTATAGCTTTGTGACTTGTGTGTAGTGTTGGATAATGAAGTAACAACCTTAAAGTTTGTTAGCCAGTGTTTTGAGTTTATACAGTGCTGATGTAAGTATTACTTAAAGAGGTAATGGAATGTACAGTTGAAATAATTCTTTCAAAGGGCTTAATCCTTTCTTTTAGTTTAGTTGCTCTTACCTGTCAGGAGTGAGTGCATCAGTGTGATTGTACTGTTCACATATACAGTTATTTCTAAAGCAAAGAATATGTTTTACCAATTTGGTGTACGAATACTCTTCTGGAGGCCACACCCTTTTTTCACTTAAAATAAAGGCTGTTCTTATGTGCTGTAATTACAACGTCCTTTTCACATGTAAATTTGAACTTTATAATTTTATTTTATCCTTTAAGAGGCAAGATGTACCACCCATTTATGTAGAAATGATGTTGAAAGTTTTTTTGAACCACCACACCCTTTTTACGTGATGTGGATGTCAATTTATAAATGGACAGAGTGGTATTCACATAAGAGGAAATCAAAATAAGGCTTTGGGAATAAATAATCTCTGGGCATCTTATTGGCCCCTTATACTCAGCTTCTCAGTAGTCTTGTTTTCACTAATACAGGCTGACAGTCAGGATGGGCCACTTGGGATTTAAAGTTTTAATGGTTCACGATTACTGTGAGGTTGGGTAACTCATTTTCTTCTAACTTAATTGGGTTTTAGGACACTATTTAAGAAATCATCAAACAACTTTTGCTTGATTATATGTATTTCCATAAAGTATTTATCAAAAATGTTATTTACTAGTTATCTGTATGTGACATGTTTTCAGTGTGAAAACTCTAGGTATTCTAATTTTTTTTAAAGGACCTTAAGAAATTTTGAGACAATCTGATATTTGCAGAAATCTGCTGTGCAAGAATGTTGGTAAAGTCTTGTTCAACTTTGATTTCTTTGAACTGGAAATTTGTAATTCATATGTATATGTGGATATTTGTATTAAGAACCATCTCAAAATATTCCAAGAAAACCCATTGAAAAAAATTAGGGAAACTGAGACTGTCATCATTTCCTGATTCATTCATAAGAACAACGATATGTTTTGAAAAGTGCCTTTTATAATGCTTAAAATGTTTAATAATTACTTGAATTACTTGCATATTTAAAATAATGCCAAAGTGCTTAGAAAAGCTTTACTAGGTGTTTTTTATTTAAAACCCTTAATTTGAATGAATAAGGATATGTGTGGTCTGGTTAATTGAATTCCTAATGCAAGAGATTAACCAGAAATTCATTTTTACTTTGATTAGAAAAGCTTTACTAGGTGTTTTTTATTTAAAACCCTTAATTTGAATGAATAAGGATATGCGTGGTCTGGTTAATTGAATTCCTAATGCAAGAGATTAACCAGAAATTCATTTTTACTTTGATGTTTATGGGAGAAAATATTGAATATACTGTACATTCAAGTACACAATTGAATCTTTGTGTAATTTGCACTGCTGGTAGGGGAGGAGGGAGGTATGTGGTGGAAAAGGTCTTGGTACTACCACTAGATCTCTTCTGCATTGTCACTGAGGTCATGAGAATCAGAGACTGACTGCACAGTAAGTTTACTGTGCAGAGCCCAGGATGTACTCAGGACAATAATCTGTCTGAGAGAGAAAAGTAAAGAAAATGATCATGATAAAGACATTCCCAGTATTAGCTTATTTCCCTGGTATTTGTCTTTTGGGGAAGATTTAAAATACGCACACAAATACAGTATTTAATAAGGAGTATCTTAAAATCTTGTTATACAGAAAGTTGTTAGAAAATGATTCTTTGCTTCTCAAAAGGAATTGTATGGAAGAGGATACCCTAATAATGATTTAATGTTAAAAAGTTTGCTTATCTGTAATTTTTAAATGACTTCAACAACAGAAGTTCTCACACAAGTATTTGGGTTTTATGGATTTTTTTTAGTTCATTTAAAACCACATAAAATTGGATTGGTTAGTTTTTTAAAAACGTTAAGTGCTGTCTGGACTATTTGAAAGAGAACATATCCAAACTATTATCTGAGGTATCTTTCTTGATATTTATAAGGGTTCTGCTGGCTTTCAGAAGTTGATCTCCAGTCTTTTTTTCCCCTGGTTTTAAATGTTTTCAGAGTTTCTTTAAAAAAAGACATGTGATTACATATTAAACTGGTTTTGCCCATAAAAAGAAATAATGTCTTTCTTGAACTTTATGCTCTATGCCTGTTCATTATACTCATGTTATGGGCATTTTGAGAAAATTAAAACTCATTTGAATGCTGTGGTTTTCTGTTTTTAGGACTTTGTGTATTTACCTTGCCTTAGGCTTTACAAAATTAAATTAGGACTTTGAGAAAATGGCAGAGTCTTTCTTTGGGCTGCCCTAATGTGTTGTTAGTTTCCTTATTAAGTACATGTGTTAGTGTCTCTAGCATCTCTTATTAGAAACTCTTCTGAAAGCTCAGTTTGTCCACTTGTGGTTCATTTTGCTGTTGTGTTTATCTGACACCACTGAACTTTTTGTTTTTATTATAAGTAAAGCATGCCACTGTTAACTATGCTTTGGCACTGTGTCACATCTTAACTTGGTTATTTTGAGGGGCACACACCATACTGCTTTGTGACAGGACCTAGATTTAAGTGTGGAGCCAGAAGGGTCATCTGTTTGTTCATACTGAAATGAGGAAACAGCTTGATTAATACCAAAAGGTTAACTTTAGTGGTAGAACAGATAAATTATCTGACATTTCAGAGGCCATCTGCTAAAGGATTTTACAGATACCTACTTGTGTGCTGAGTGCCCCTAATAACCAGGGTATGAGGGGGCATTGGGCACGCTAACTTAAAACTGTTTTCTTTTTTAGGTCCACAACTCCCAGGCCTGTTGCAGATCTCCAACTCCTGCTTTGTGTGACCCCCCAGCATGCTCTCTGCCGGTGGCATCACAGCCACCACAACATCTTTCTGAAGCCGGGAGAGGGCCTGTAGGGGTAAGGAGAATCCCGTTTTTAAAAGCTATCAGTATTTTATATCCCATAGGGTATAAAATAGGAATATTACCTCCCTCCCCAGGCCCCCTTTAAAAATGTGCTGTATTATATGTGTTTTTAAAGGAGTAACAAGTACATGCACAGAGGAAGCAAAATACGGGACTTGCCTTACCCCTCTAGGACAGTTCCAGAAGTTAGTGGGGTTTGGTGGAAGGGTATTTTGGCACCAGCAGAGAGCATGCTGGGCTGCTGCAAGGAGCAGGAGCTGGCAATCAGCAGCGAGTATGGATGTTGGCAACTGAAATGGGGAAAAAAGGGGGTAAGTTTGAGTCCAGGTGTGGAACGTGCATTTCCCCAGGCCCATTGGGACTCATGGCCCTTGAATCTAAACCATTTTGGGTGCTGTCCTTTCAGGTGAAGTTTTGCAGAGTATTGTTCAGAAATAGAGAGGCCTTTCTGCAATGGTAGATATAGAATAAGCAATTCAAAAGGATTGGGTTGAAGTGTAGCTGTACTTCTCACAGCTGTACCTGGTAATTTCTCTGTTTCCTGGTGATGATGTGGGATGTGTGAGATGCAGCAGGATGAAAGTGACTGTAGTGCTATACCCTGTAGAACACAGGGGCCCAGGGCTGGTGACCCTAAGGGTTATTTCTGTGTAGTACATCTCCCTTTTTATGAAAGCTGTGTGTACACGTCTTCCTTTCCTTCCTTTAGGAGGATTTAATGATAACATTTTCTGAAAGAGAGGTGTTTATTGTTCTGAATGACTACTGGATACCCAAGGCTGCTGTTAATCACTCAAGAAGTATAATCTGAATGTGGGGCTCCAGTTTGTATTGAATTAGAAAAGAATGTAAGAGAATAGCATGCACGTAGGCACGGCTCTCTCTCTGTCACTCTCTTTCTCACACACACGCAAACACACACACACAATACAAACAATACAAAATACTGCTGTTCAGTTGCAGTGTAGGATATTAATATCTTGGGACTAAGAAAAGAAAGTGCTCCAGGTGGGCTATAGCACTTTTGGAAGTTTTGTGAAGGCAGGTAGGTTTCAAGGAGCTGGGTGTGTTTTTGACACATCAGTAAGATGTGGATAGATAGAGTGGAGGAGGCTTCTAGGTGTACATGTCAACTTGTCCCTATAACCAGCTTAGGCAATGAGCCTGGCGAGTCTTGGAGTTGTGAGAAGATGACCCACAGGACACCACTGAAGAGCACAGGTTAGTGGGTCTCAGGAGGCAGAGGTGGAGATATGAAATGGGGTCAGAACACAGAGGATCTTAAAGGCTAGACAATTTAAGATTTTGTGTTGGGCTTGGGCTGGCCAGTTAGCTCAGTTGGTTAGAACGTGGTGCTGTAACACGAAGGTCAAGGGTTCAGATTCCCCATACTGGCCAGCTTCAAACAAACAAACAAAAACAAACCCAAGATTTTTTTGTGATAGGCAGTAGAGAGCTTTTGCAGGCTTTTTTATTCCAGGCAAGCTGACTTGCAAACCGCTGCTTAAGAAGATTCACTGGGCAGCACTATGCAGTGTAGAATGGGGAAGGCTGGGGAAAGTTCTAATTAGGAGGCTAGGGCTGTTGTCTATGATAAGATGAAGAGGACGAGGACCAAGACAGTGAAGATAGGATGTTAATAATTGGTATAAAATCGGGAGTAATTGTCGCAACGATAGCATGTTTATATAATTGCTGGTGTAATTACCCAAGAATTAGACCAGAAAAAGTGTTCACATTATGGCAGCCTTGGAATTCTTGAAATAATAATCATTCACAATGGAAGGTAGAACCCAGTGTAATGGATAAAAGTCTAATATTAATCCCTGGAGAGATATATTGACATCTTAAGGGACAAATTAGTAGAGTTCCCAATTTGACTACCTATTTCTAAAGCTTCAGCCTTTACCAATTACTATCTTGTTTCCATTTTTACTTAAGAAACAGATTTTATCTTTCAGATTGATATTTCCTTGCTTTATTCTCTAATCAGTGTGAGTGTCATTATTAGCTATTTACCACAGTATTCACTGACCAGGATTTTCTGCATGGATTTTGTATCTTGCCCATACTAACATTGACTTTCAGTAAAGTTTTTATATTAATATAAGTAATGACCAGTATGTATTATTTAGCAGTAAAAATATTCATGTCCACTGAGGATTTAAATAAGTTCATGTTTGGTGGAGGACACTCAGATACCATCTTATGTAGGTTTGAGAGGATTCTGTAATAAGATGATAAATCTTCTTTCATTCAAGATGATGCTGCATAAAGCTAACTATTGATTGTTCTTTAATGGTGCTTTGTGCTGCCAAAGTCATCTGAATCGGATCCAGTTGGCAAAGTGCCCCCCACCCCCCAAGTGCAGAGCTCTCATAAATTCTACAGGCACACAGATCTAATACAGTGTAATGAGAGAGCTGCTGGGAGAAAAAATTGATTACAGGGTTGCAGACAATATCATTAACATTTCTTGCCATGATACACCAGATGTCTTCCTTAATAGACTATTTTTGTTAATTTAGTTTTTATAGGATAGCATTGATTGCATCATAATTTAACTTTCTTTGCATATTCAGGCACTATATGTGATCTGTGTTTCTACACTAATGATGGCATAAACTCATCAGATTTAACTTTATAAATTTTTAACTTATTTGTTCATTTTTGTATGTGTGCTGGAGAGGCAACATTTTTACTTGTTACCAAGAATCCGTTAGCATGGATATTTTCTAGCAAAAAGTACTGTGTTTACTGGTTGGGGGGGGCGGGCGGTGAGTAATGGGGGAGGTAAGAAAGCAAAGATGACATTGCCCAGATCTTCCCTAGACTGCTCAGAGATGCTCGCCCTTCCCTCAGCTGATTTTAAATAGAAATTACATGGCAGCAGACAGAGGCTCTAGTCAAAGAGGAAAAGGTGCATACACTTCAAGGGGCATGTGTATTTCCATTGTCATGGATGTGGCTCTGTAGGCCTGTCCTCTAGGAGGTCAAGGTCTAGTTTAGGGTATATAGTTATGTAGCTTTTTTTTTTGTCTTTTTTCCGTGTCCGGCAACGGGATCGCAGCCCTCGGTGTCGCTCCCGCGCCTCGCTCAGCCAGTGAGCAGGAACTGGTCTGTATGTGGGATCTGAACCCTCGGCGGGAGCGCCGCCACACTTCCCAAGCGGCGCACTATAGCAGTGCGCCACCGGGCCGGCCCCTATAGTTATGTAGCTTTTAAATTTTTTTAGCCGTGTCATTTTGTGTATTTAAGTCTCATAATTAAAACAGAACTATAATAGTGATTAGAGCAATTTTATTTCAGTAAATTTTTTTTTAACCTTTTTTTGGGGGGGTGGGGGGTGCATTTTCCTTTAGGAAACTTTTTTCCTTTTGACATATTTCTATGTAATATAGAACACATTAATTAACCTTTCTAACTGGTAGTTTTCTCAAAGGGTTTTTGAAAAAATTAAATGAAATAATTCATTAAGGTTTTTAGCACAAAGCATCTAACAAGCATACATAAAACATTATCTGATAATCCCATAAGACTTTTGATGTATACAAATTCTGGTTTTAAGTAATTTGTTCGTTTTCTTGATATTCTTAATCTGAGGTCCACAGGCCGCTAGTTGGTCTCTTTCAGTTTAAGAGGGTATGTGAACTTCCTGAAATTGCTTGCAAAGTTTTATATGTATGTACATTTTTCTGGAAAGAGGTTTTATAATTTTTGACCATGGATGCTAATCAATAAATTCTTTAATTGCTGAAAATAATTTAAAAATGTAAGATCAAGAACTTCTGCTCTGTACAGGCACTGCGGTGGGTCAAATCAGCTCACTGTTTGTTAAGGAAGTAAACTAACATTGAGCATTCACTTTGCTCAGGTACTCTGCTTCTCTTTTCACATAGCTTAATCTATTTAATCTCTGCAATAATCAGTGAGATTTATTCCATTTTGCCGAGAAGGTTCACATTTGCCTAAAAATCTTGCCTTTTGTGAGTGGCAGGACTGAGGTTTCAGTCTGGGGAACTCACCCTAAGCTGGATCCTCTCCGTTGTCCTTATGGCTGACTTCTGTGCTTCCTGGGCTGTCCCCGTAGTCAAGCCCAACTTTGCCTCCACTTTACTGGAGAGTTCCTGAGCTAACCTGTGGTTCATTCACTTGAAAGAGTGGCTTTTACCACTGAAAGTTACACAGGTTGGCCCTTAACTTGAATAAATGGACAGTGGTGTTAGTATGGCTAGTATGGTGTGAGAACCCTTTTTTAAGCAAATTTTGTTTTCCTGTTAGCAATGGTGGTGGTTATATCCTTAGTGTCATTTTGTTTGAAAAATGCGTGACCAACAGCTACTATGAATTTTCTTTCATTCATCTTAATAGCATATGTACATTTGAAAGATAAGTAGTTTGTAGTATAGTACTTCCCTCTTTTTTTTTTTTTTTTGCTTCAAGTAAAACTTTGTATTTAAGAATTTGGGGTTTGCATTTCCCTTGCAGTAAATCTACTCCACCAATCTAGACAGAACTGTTCCAGTTACCCAGAGCAGGAAGCTAGTGCACAGCAGTAGGGCTTGACTTTCTGCAAGTCCCCTGCTTGTTGAGGGGCTGCTCAGGTTTGTGTTGGTGTCTTTCCATTGTCCCCTGCGACTTTCCTCAGTCTATGAGGGATGTTCTTAAAGTTGTCCATGCTAGTTTAACTAATATAAACTTTTGTGACTATATGTCAAACTAGTGTTGAAACTATTATTTTTTGCTTAAGTAAGGCATATATCGTTATTAGGTATCATTTCTAACACTAGTACTTTTCATACTTTAGACTTTGGTACCATTTAATAATTAAAAATTTATTATAAAATGCTGTTTTAGAAGTGAAATTTACTATTTGTTACCTACTTGTTGCTTAGAAAGAACTCTAATCTGGTGGCTTGTTTAGCTCCATAGGAGTTTCTGAGGCTATACTGCTTTTTCAAAATATAATGTGGCTTCCACAATTAACATTAAGTATACCAAAAATAATCACTGGGAATGATCATGAGAGGTACTGCCTTTTACATTTTATTATAGTGAAAGGTGCTAAAATGCCTGGATTTTCAGAAGAATTGCTAATACAAATGCTAGGATTAGTCTAGCTAACCTAAATGAAAGATGATTACTAGCTGTTGAATTTTAATGTAGTAAGTTGTAAAAATTCTTAAATACTCAAATGACCCATATTGCAGAGGATGACCAATACTAGCATCAGAGAATAGGTACCTTGCTTCCAGATGGATTTCTTTCCTCAGGAGCAGTTGTTTCCGTACCCTGCTCACCCACAAATGCT